TCTTTTTGTATATATTTTTTCTCTTATTGGTTGATGAATAAAACACTGATTCTCCAGTAGCCAGGCAGCAAATGCCTATGATTCCTGCATTAGGGAGGCTGAAGGTGGAGGAGTTCAGAGGTCAGGCTGAGGTACACTATGATATCATATCTCAAAAGAAGAAGAGAAGAAGAAGTAGGAAGAAAAACAAGTATGTTAGATAAAATTCAAATTGTAGTGACATATCTGTTTAACTGTCACATCTTATGCCACTTTTTATTAGCTCTGAGAGTATAAGAAACAAATGAGCAGGTGTTGCTTTATTGAAGGAGGGGTATCATTGGGAACAGGATTTGAAGTTTTAATAGATGTGGCCATTACCAATGCTCTCCACCCTCTACTTCATGTTTGTGTCTCAAGTTCTGACCTCTCACTTCCTGATTCAACATTGTTTTAGTCAGGGTCCTCTAGAGCAGTGATTCTCAACCTTCCTAAAGCTGTGACCCTTTAATATAGGTCCTCATATTGTACTGACCCCCAATCATAAAATTATTTTTGTTGGAGCACTGTGCTGCCCCGCCCCTTGGGCAGTCACGGGGCGGGGGAGGGGGGTGTTTTGGCGGCTGGAAGCTGCTTGCACTGAGCGAGCTGGTGTTGAGGAGTGCAAGCTAAGGTTGCAATGATATCCTCCTGGCTGATGGCTCAGTTTCCCCACAAAGAATGCTCAGTGTTGTGTTCTAAGGAGTTCTGCTCAGTGTTTAACTGTGGGTGCCTGCTTCTACTTCCATCAGCTGCTGGATGAAGGCTCTGGATGGCATATAAGAGGTTACTCACACATTTTGGTATAGTAAAACAACACACAAGGAGCCAAGAGTAATGCAGTTGAAGGACGTAAAATGAAAACAATAACCTCAAGAAGAGAGGAAAGAAAATAAAGTGGAGCTGTTTCTTGTCCTATGTATTCACCAAATTGTCTTGAAATCTAACTAAAAATGAACTGCTCTTTTCAGCACCTGTTACATCAGTCAAAGCAGCCCCTAGATGTTAACTGTCTGTTGTTTTTGATCATACTTGGAAAAATACTATTAAATATCCTCATCCTAGGAATGAAAAGGAAAGACACCTATTGGAGTTTTATGGGATATTTCTGCTTTTCACTAGCACTTGTTGATCTTCTGCTGTTGGTAAACATTTCCATTCTGTTCTACTTTAGGGATTTTGTAGTTCCAGGAATTAGGTTTACAAAATACCACATCTGTCTGCTCACACAAATCATTTCCTTCACTTATGGTGTTTTGCATTATCCAGTTTGCTTACTAGCTTGTATAGATCACTATTTAAATCTGTCTAGAGCCACCAAGCATTCATCTAAGTGGCAAAAGTTCTTTTATTTCTTGACAGTCATTTTAATTTGGACTTCAGTCTTTGCTTATGTTTTGGGAGAGCCAGCTATCTCACAAAGCCTGAAGACACACAGGGCTTCTATGTACCAATGCCCTTCCTATGTCAGCACTCAGAGTTACTGGATGTCATTGTCTATGCTGATGGTTTTATTGGTGGCTTTTCTGATTTCATAGTCAGAAGTTGTTGCCTTGGTACAGGCAATTAGGATAGCATCTTATATGAACAAGACCATCCTCTACTTTCCTTTCCCATCCCACTCTGGTTACACTGTGAGGTCTAAAGAAGCACTCTTGCCCAGGCTCATCGTGTGCTTTCTTGGTACCTGGTTTCCCTTTGTAGCACTTCAGGTCCTCACCCTGTCACTCGGAGTTCAGATCCCAGCATATGTAGAAATTAACATCCCCTGGCTCTACTTTGTTAACAGTTCTCTCATTGCAGCAGTTTATTGGTTCAACTCCCAGAAGCTTTATATAAGAGACAGCACATTACTTGTGGATCCTTCTGTCAACTGGAAATTCTTTTTTGTTCCAATGCATAGACTTAAGCAAGTGGGAGAGGCCCGTTTCCATAATCATCTGTTGATATGCTGCTGTGTTGGGAGAACTCCAGAAGCACCAAGGATCAGTCTTACAAGCAGGACAGAGGGGACTCGGGACACATTCCTGAAGCTCTTGGCCCCCTAACTTTTTTCAGCACAGCCTATAAGGTGTGGATATTAAATAGTGCTAAGGACACAGTAACACAATGAAGTTTTTGTGCCTGTTCAGCAACATTGTGTATTTGGTCATGTGTAAGTATTTGGTACTAATCCAAAAGTAAAATAAACACATTAACATGTGAAAATAATTATTTTTGTTGCTACTTCATAGCTGTAATTTTGCTACTATTACGAATCATAATGTAAATATTTTGGAGTTGGAGGTTTGCCAAAGGGGACACAACCCTTGGCTTGAGAACCACTGCGCTAAAGGAATAGAAATTACAGAATTAATCTATACATTGGGGGGGGTGTCTTAGAATGGTTTACAGGTCAACTAACCCAGTAATGGCTGTCTACCAATGAAAGGTCCAAATATCCAGTAGTTGTTGAGTCTATAGGCTGATGTCTCAACTAGTCTTTAGTGTGTGTCAGACTCCCAAAGAAACAGGTTCTAGTGGAATGGGCTTGCTATTTAAACAAGAAAAAGCATGCAAAGTGTGGGCAAGGTTCCTTAATCCAAGCTCTTTATACAGGCTGCCAGCAGGCAGTGTGGTACAGAACAAAGATGGATAGTCCAACCTGTAAATATCTAAATTAAAGGTGTATCTATCTTCCTACCTGAAAGATTAAGATCAGAAGTAGGTCTAATGCACTTCAAGTGATTTAATTAAGGAAAATCTCTCACAGGTGCCTAGTCATTTGGGTTTTAGTTAATTCCAGATGTACTCAAGTTGACAACAAAGAGTAGTCATCATAAACACTGTGCTTCCCTGTTTGCTGCCATGCTCCCTACTGTGGTGGTCATGATCTCTAACCCTTTGAAATTGTGAGCCCCAAATCAAACACTGTCCTTAGTCATGGTGTTTATCACAGTGTGATGGTTAGAATGAAAATGGCTTAATTGGCTCATAAGAAGTGGCACTATTAGGAGGTATGACATTATTTGCATAGAGTTTGGTCTGTTGGAGGAAGTATGTCAGTGGGGGTGGGCTTTGGGGTTTCAGTAGCTCAAGCCTTGCCCAATGGCTTACTCTCTTCCTGCTTCCTACTTATGCTGATGTAGAACTCTCAGCTACCTCTCCAACACCATGTTTCCTCCATTCTGCCATGTTTCCTGCCATGATGATAATGTACTAAATTTTTGAACTGTAAGCCTGCTGTAATTATGTTGTCATTTATGAGAGTTCATTGTGGTGATGTATTATTTATGATTTATTAAAGCTTGCCTAAGGATTCAGAAAGCAAAGTCAGCCTTAAGCTATAGAGATCAGGCAGTGATAGAACACACTTTTAATTCCAGGACTCAGGATTAAGAGGTAGATGGATCTCTGTGAGTTCAAGGCCACCTAGATCTAGACAAGGCTGATCCAGTCCTAAAGAGAAACAGCTCACACAAAGATGATCCCAGCACCTGGGATCACATGCCTGTAATCCAAGCACTAGAGGGGTATAAAAGATAGGAGCAGGGTCTTTAGTAGTCAGTATCAGGCATTCATTCTCCAGCCACATTGAGGATAGGAAGGCATTGAAGTCTCAGCATTCTCCAACCACACTGAGGAGAGGCTTCAGTCTGAGGTTTGGTGGAGACAGGATCACTGTTCAGTCTGAGGTAGAGTGAGAGCTAGTGACCAGCTGATTTGCTTTACTGATCTTCTGCTTGAAGCTTGAACCCTAACATCAGTCTCTGGGTCTTTTATTTATCATGTTACAGTTCATGTGGTCACAGTATCTCTTCACAGCAATAGAAATTGGTACTAAAACACACAGCATAACAAAAGTAACTGAGCAGACTATATACATGTGCCACCACAAATAGTTTTGTACAGTGCTGAGTGAGGATCCACCCCAGGACTCCACAATGCTAGTCATGCACTGTACCAGCTGAACCTCATTCAGAGCTCTACACAGTTTCAGCTTCTAATTTAGTGGTGCAGAGGCAATATCATACGTCTTCAATAGAAATCCTAAATCACGTGGGGACTCCTGAGACATTCCAGTGAGGAATTTCTGGAAGAGATTCAATGAGTGTATCACATCAGCAGTGTGAAGAGACTTGATTTGTTCAGCAACAGAAGATATAATCTGTGGGACAGTACTGGGCAGCTGGAGAGCACTCTGCACTTGCTAGTCTCACTGCTGTGAGTGTGGGGAAGTGTTTCTGCATGACTCTGCACGGGAATCCTTCTCATCCTGTCCCTGCTGGGTGGGAAGTCTTGATTGTTCAGCAGCTGCCCTGAATGCAGCTTCCTTCCCTTTCTCATCTTGTAAGTGCCCAAGTCCAACTCCAGAGGAATACTTGTAGAGGCATCTTGCCTTGACAGTGAACTTATAGTAGTGGCCACACCTTTTGGGTGTGGTTTCAGGCAGATGTGACCCCTTTAAGGTAGAGGAGCTGTGGGTGCATGCTCTCTTGGGTAGGGTAGAGCATGGAAACGGCAGAGACTATATCTTCTGGAGCAGGAAGTCCATGGCAGTTATTTACTCATATATGCATAAGTGCTTCCCCAATAAAACACCTATTTAACATTTATCTTGGGTCTGGTGAACTCATTTAAACTCTGCCTTCAGAACACTGCAGTTCTCTGTCCCTTATCTTGTTTTTCTTTCCCTTTCGGCCACACCTGCTACCCAAATCCAGACCCAGCCATGCGCTCAGGTACAAGAAAGTCCACAGAGAAGGCTTTCTTGCTATTAGGCACAGCTTTCCTGAGGGTCAGGATCTTTTAGGGTGATTGTGACATGAACTCGAACAGATGACATACCAAGTTCCTGTGGCACTGAAAAATGTCCCAAGCTCCTGGAATGGCATTGCTGACCCAAGGCAACTGGCTCCCTCTGGTGTAAGAATCTCAAGATATGACGTGGTTGCACCCCATTGGCTGGGAGCTCTGCAGTTTCTCATTGCTCCAGCCCTCAAAGCTTTGAGTTTCATTTCCTCCTGGGTGTCCTGAGGACTCTTCCACTCTAGTGTGCTGCCCTCCATTTTCTCCTCTCCACAGAGTCAGGATCTCTTGGTTGATGTCTGAAGATGTGAGAACAAATTTTGGAAGACTTTGGAACAAAGTTTGGAAGACTTTAGAAGAAAACACTCTTTGCTCTGGTGAGTTTAATTTGAAACTGAGAAGGGCCAGGGAAGGAGGGACTGCTGGCTTTCTGCTGGTTGCTCTAAGGTTGAGGAGCCAAATGGAGTCATGACCTTGAGGAAGCCAGATTTCAAGATCCACAGAGGTCTGGGTATTTCGGTAGATGGAGAGCACTCTGTTCTTTCCTAATATTTAATTTTGGGATTTACAAAGAATTTCCTTTTTCCTAGACAGATACTGCTCTTTATCCATGCCTCCCATCCCCACTGACAGAGTAAAGTTAGAGTGGTGTATGAAAACAGAGTTTAAGGTCTCTCTGTGTAATGGTGTATTTACCCATGATTCTATGAATTCATTTCCTTTGCTTCTGTCCCAAACCTTCTGCAGCCTCTTAAACGTTTACTTGTACTATCAAACAGCTCAAGTCTGTGGAGAATTACTAATATTACTTAAAAGTCATTGCATTTGCCTAGCTTTCCCTTGGTCCATGTCTGTCATGCCTAAATGAAATTCAGCCCAGACTAGTAATTCCAACTACAAAGACAGCTGATGCAGAGAGATCCAAAGTCCAAGACATGCTTGGGGACACAATAAGACCATGTCTAAAGAAAAAAAATGCCCAAAGGGTGTTGCTTATTGGGGTGCAGTTAGTGTGGTGGGGGTGGTACTTTCAAGTTTGCACTAGGCCCAGGATAATATCCCAAGGAAAGAGACAGAGATGACAGGGGAAGAAAGAGAGAGTATGCGTGAGAACACTGGGAGAGCACATTCTTTAGAAGTCACAGCTTTTCTGTTTCACTGGGGCATGACAAGACATAGCCCAAGCTAACCTCATGTAACTGCCCTTTGTCAACATGGAGGTATTTTGGTTACCAGGCCCTCAGACCTCTCAGACTTCAGAGAGAAAACTGAGAGCAGGTGCAAGAGTTAGGAAAAAAAATCTAAGTGCAAAATGACTTGTTTCTTTACTGTTCTGTGATCCTCCAAAGTTTCCAGTTTATATACACATACAGACACTATCAGAATTCTCTGGCAATAGCAAGGTTACAGGACCTATATTTTTCTGGGTCATAAGAACAGATAAAGAATCAAGCTTGGATGTGCCACCCCTATCTTGAAAGTCCTGAATGTGACCCATATGAGGGACTCCTATCCTGACTAAATGTCCTGATAAATAGAAGATTATTGTAGGGAGCTGGCTTCTGAGTCTATCTCAGGGATTGGAGCAGAGATTAGACTGTGGCAACCAAGGTCATTGATTGCATGACAAAATTTCTCACCGGAGGTCGAAGAGAGTGGGGTAAGTGACCCACTAAGCAAAAGAACAAGGCAGACTTTTCAATGTCCATAGCCCTTGTGGGACAAATAGATCCAGTTATGAAGTATGTACCAGTATATGTTCTATATATCAAAATGGTATAGCTAAATGAAAAGTCATCTGCCTGACTATCTACAGATATATGTGCTCATAAGTTTGAGTTACAATCATGAGATTACATATACACATGAGATTACACACAACAGTGCAGGTATTGGGGGACACCAAGCTGCTTTAGCAAAAGTGAACAATGGCTTTCAGAGTCGATGGTCCTGCAGATCTTGTCTGAACAGGATTAACCTCCATCAGATAATCATCCCTCTTGAACACTAGTTGACTCCTGCTATAACTCTCATGGCCCCTGACATGTCACCTGACACTGGGTTTACAGGTGGACACTGAAGCCCCAGGACTTTTCTACCTTTCAAGGATCAGAAATACTCCAGATGGATTTAATGGTCTAAAGACTGATAGATGTTTGCTCTTAGGAACATCTTGAGAGTCATGAAAGGTAGGATAGGGAGCAGGGAATCCCAGTTTCACCCAACGCAATGTAGTCACTAGAGGACACAGGACAGGTCTCCTGTGTCCCGGTTGACTTTCAGGATTGTCAGGAGCCCATCCTCTTTCCCTTTACTCTCTCCTGGTTTTAGTCAGTTGTGGATACCTCTCTTCTGAACTTAGCATTGACTATCTTTACAGCCATCTATTAAGAGACAATACAATACTCACATTAGATTTGTCCAGTTTTCAGATTTGCCATCATCTAGGGAGCACACATTACATTGTTCCAGATAACATTACTTAGTTAAGGAACCCTGGAACAATTTCTTTGCCCAGTCTATTTGGAAAAATTTCCATTTCTCTTATGACATCAATACTTTGAAGTTTCATCAACCTTAAAGAAACAGTTTCACCCATAACTTGATATGCCATGCTGGTTGGTACCCATGGGAGTCCTGCCTTTTTTTCTGAAGAGAACTGGAGGGGGGGTGGGAGGAGAGAGGTTGGGGGTAGGACTGTGAGGAGAGGAGGGAGGGAAAATTGGGGTCACTATGTAAAAACAAAACAAAAATAAATAAATGAATCAATACAAAAAAGAAAGAGTTTTACTTGTTACAGAGTTTAAATCCACCAGGAAAAGACAACAGACTCAACTTAAATTATAATTAAATAAGTTTATTAATTACTGCTACTAGGCTTTCAACAGTTTTAAAGACAATTCAAAGGCTAGTCACACAGAAGAAGCTGGAGGAGGAGTTTTTTAGGTGGCAGCACAATTGTCTCCTTTGTGTACAATGTGTATCTGAGTGAGAAACTGCTTGTACTCCCTCACCTGTGAGGAGCTCTCTCACACAACATGCTACACAGCAGAAAGTGGCCACAAAATCCAGAAGCAGTTAATTACATCATAGTACTTTTACAATTTGGGCAATGTTATCAAGGAGTGAGAGTTGCCAGGAGCTTCTCTTTTAGGAATTTAGAATGGGTTTTCCTTAGCTATCACATACTCCATTCACAAAAGAAACAAGCTGTCTGCAGCTTTATTGTTTTAATTGAAAAAAACCTAGTTATCCTTCCTTGTTGTCTTTTTTTTTTTTTTTTTTTAAGATTCATTCTTCTGGAATGGGGACCATTTGAAGGATGTTATATCAACCTAGTGCAATGGAAACTAAGTATTGGATGCCTGGTTATTGGGTATCCTCCACCACCGATGCAATAAGCCAATCAAGCCAAATTAACAATTCAGGTTTAATAAATAGGGCAAAGCAACACTCTAGTGACTCTCAGGAAGGCAGGAGGGAAAGCATGTGGCAGGTCTGAGGACCAGGTCTTAAATAGCCTATAGGTATGGCCTTGAGCAGCCCTGAGGGAGGGGTTGACCCTTGTTGGGCTTTCTATGGGGCTGAGTATGGGGATACAGCAGCTCCAGGGGAGGGGCACTAAAGATAGGGTTTGTAATGGGAGGAGTGAGACTTGAGCATTGAATGGGGCCCTGAGCTAGAGATCCCAACAGTAACTGCTTAAGATATATTAAAGCAATCCTAATATTAAAGCAACCCTAATGAGATTTCTGATTAATGGGGGATATGGAGTTGCAACTCCCAATCTCTTGTCACCAAACAAACTTCCAGTGGTGGGACTTGGTTGTATTCATTGAATTGTTGACCAAGGCAGTCACATGGAAATCCCCAAATAACCCAGGCTGTTGACAAACAAATGATTGCCCTCTAGAATCTGACAGTAGAATCTCATTGCCTAGGACAACAGCCACAAAATTCATTAACCATGAAGAACTTCAGCTGGTGCCTACAGGAGCCTTCACTCCTACATTCTAGCCTCTTTGGTGCAGGCAGGTTCTCTGCAGGTGACCAAAAGAAGTGCAAACACCAACCAAGTCACAAAACCTTTACCTACAGTCTGTCCTGCCTGCAAACTCTGCAAGGGCAATGGTGGCACAGAACTTGTGACAGTAGCCAACCAATGTTAGATTTGACTTAAGGCCCACTCCACCAGAAGAAACCCATACCTGACACTGCAAGGGTGACCGAGAAGTAAACAGTAGGTATCCCAGAGACCTAGGGTAAAAACCAAACACTATTGGTTTTAAAAGAAAAAAGAAAAACACAAGCAAACATAGTTTCATTTTGTTTTCAGTTGTGTATTTGTGAGTCGCCTGTGTGTATACACATTTGGAAGTATTGTTGGGGTGGTTAGAGCTGGTGGATTCCCTGAAGCTAGAGTTATAGGCAGCTGTGAGATGCTTTGTGTGGGTGCTGGCAACTGACCTAGCATTATCTTCAAGAGCAATAAGCACTGAGCCCATTCTTTATAAATGACCCTTTTTTGATTCATTTATTTATTTTGTTTTAGTGTTATTTTATGTGTATTGGTGTGTGACCTGGATATATGTCTGTGCACCACTTGAATGGTTGGTGCCCACAGATGCCAGAAGAGGGTGTCTGATACCCTGGAATTGGAGTTACAGACAGTTCTGACTCATCTTGTGGGTGCTGAGAACAGAACAGAGGTCCTCTAGAAGAGCAACCAGTGCTCTAAACCTATGAACCATCTGTCTAGCCCCTAGTATAGACATTTTAACAATATGCAAATCCATGACTACAGGTATCTTTATATATAACTGTATCATCTTTGATTTCTTTCAGTACTTTTATAGTTTTTGTGTGCAGGTATTTCATCTTACAGTAATTACTTTTCCCAATCATTCATTCATTCTTGGTTTTGATGGTTTTATAAGTATAATAGTTCTTTTTCTTTTATTAAATTTATTGACTCATTTCTTTTCATTTTATGTCTACAGGTATTTTGCCTGTATGTATATCTCTGCTGCATATGGATACAGTGCCGTCAGAGGCAACAAGAGAGAGTGAGATTTACTGGAACTTGAGTTACAGGTGCCATTGGTTTTGAACTCATTATTTTGCTGGTATTCATTCATGGAGTCTTCCATCAATTCTTTGCCTAATTTCTAGACCAAGATAAATTCTCAATGTTTACATATACATTTTGCTCAGAACCCGCAGCGGTTGGAGGCATAATTCCACATATTCAATGTTCTGGCTATCAATTCTCTTCTGGCTGTCATCTCTTTTTCCTTTGGTGAACTTATGGGGTAGAACAAAGGCCTCCAAACGAAGACTCTAAAGGGATGGTTTTCATTCCCTTTCAGTGTATTAAAGACAAGTGAACCTTGTAACTGGTCATCTTTATATATCTAGTGCAGGACTTGACTTAACCTTGTGTACAAACACATATGTTGTCATTTCTTAAAAGGCAGTAAGAGAAATCATTGCCTATGAGTCTCAGGAGATGGGACTCCAGGGCAGCACCAGCTCTTTCAGGTCAGAGTCTTGTAAGGAGAGGATCAGAGACAGTCATACTGACTGGTGCTGATGAAGGAGGAAGTACAGTGGTGGAAATATGAGTAGCTTGATGCTTTTAACACTGAAGATGTGATGTTGTCCTGGGAAAGAAAGGGAAGGATAGAAGGTAGGTTACACAAGACTGTTGGAAGGAAACACTTCCTTTCTGCTCCTCAGTAAAAGTAAATAATAATTCTGCATCTGAAATTTGTCATTTGGGACCAAATATAGTAGAGCACTTGAATGTGTGACAAAATGCTCCCATGGCTATGTCACTAAACTTCTTTCCATATTTCTCTCCTTTGTTTTTTAGCTTATCACCAAGGGCCATTCATTCTTCTCTGCACAGTGTCCATGATCATTTTCCCTTTCTTACTTGTCCTTCTTTTCCTCATCCCAATCACACAGGTACATGAGTAGAAGTGTCAGGAGTCAGACCAGGCAGAAACAGAATCACAGCAACAATGGCCTCATCAGTTCTGGAGATAATCAAGGAGGAGGTGACCTGTCCTATCTGCCTGGACCTCATGGTGGAACCTGTGAGTACAGATTGTGGTCACAGCTTTTGCCGAGCCTGCATCACACTGAACTATGAATCCATCAAAGGCAAAGAAGAAGAGGGCATCTGCCCTGTGTGTGGAGTTACTTACCTGTTTGGGCATCTGAGACCTAATCGGCATGTGGCCAACATAGTGGAGAGTCTACTGGGGTTCAAGTCCAACCCAGAGGAGGAGCAGAAGGTCAATGTCTGTGTACAACATGGAGAGAAACTTCAGCTCTTCTGTGAGAAGGACATGGTGGCCATCTGCTGGCTTTGTGAGAGATCTCAGGATCACCGTGGTCACCAAACAGCTCTCATTGAAGAGGTGGCCCATGAGTACAAGGTAAGAAGTGGGAGGGTGTGGGACACAGAGCAGAAGACAGTAACAGTTGGGAATTGTCTAGTTGTTGTGACAGATCAATTACCTGGACATCATAGACTTAAGGGTTGATATATCATTCCATTTTTTCCTTATATTTAGAGTCCTAAAAAGACATGGTGATTTATTCCACTCAATTATATGAGAATCTTCTGTACTACAAGTACTAGGTTAGAAAAAAATTTTAATGGAACTGTCCTTGTGAATTTGAGTCAATGGCCAAGAAAAGCCAAGAGCAGAAGAACATCTCATGTATTCCGTATTTATCTTCTTTCAATGCTCATGTCAGATTCATTCATATTACCTAAAATCCAGTCGTGACTATCAACACTGAGTAGTACTCTGTTGTGTAAATGTACCACATAGTTGAACAGATATCCTATGTTGTATGAATGTGCATCTTTTGAGTATATGCCTTAAGAGTGGAATTGCTGGATCTCCCCCCCCATTTTTTATTTAAATAAGAAACAAGATTGTTTTACATGTCAATCCCAGTTCCTTCTCTTCCCTCCTCCCCTACCACCCCCCAACTAAAACACTACCTATCACATAACCTTTCTGTTCCCCAGGGATGGTGAGGCCTTCCATAGGGGGTCTTGAGGGTCTGTTATATCCTTTGTGATAGGGCCTAGGCCCACACCTGTGTGTCTTGGCTCAGGGAATATCACTCTATGTGGAATGGGCTCCCAAAGTCCACACCTATGCTAGGGATAAGTACTGATCTACTACAGGAGGCCCCATGGATTTCTGAGGTCGCCTCACTGACACCCACATTCATGGGGTCTGGATCTGTCCTATGCTGGTTTCCCAGCTATCATTCTGGGGACCAAGAGCAAACCTATGTTCAAGTCACTGTTTCTGTGGGTTTCACCAGCCTGGTCTGGACCCCTTTGCTCTCCACTCGTCCTTCTCTGCAACTAGATTCCAGTTTAGTTCAGTGACTAGTTGTGGGTGTCTGCTTCTACTTCCACCAGCTTCTGGATGAGGGCTATTGGGTGGCATATAAGTCAGTCATCAATCTCATTATTAGGGGATGACATTTAAGGTAGCCTCTCCTTTGTTGCTTAGATTGTTAGCTGGTATCATCTTTGTAGATCTCCAGACATTTCCCTAGTGCCTGATTTCTCTGTAAACCTAAATTGTCTCCCTCTATTATGGTATTCCCATTCTTGTTATCTGCTATTCTTCCCCTGACTCAACCTTCTCTGCTCTCTTATGTCCTCTGCATCCCTCCTCTTCTCCCCTTCTCATTCTCCTAGCTCCCTCCCCCCTCTTCCCATGCTCCCAATTTGCTCAGGAGATCTTGACCCTTTCTGCTTCTCCAGGGGACAATGTATGTCTCTCTTAGTTTGTTCCTGGTTTACTAGCTTCTCTGGCAGTGTCGATTGTAAGCTGGTAATTCTTTACTCTATGTCTAAAATCCACCCCTGTTTGTTTTTCTTTTTGTGATTGGGTTACCTCACTCAGAATGGTTTCTTCTAGTTCCATCCATTTTCCTGCAAATTTCAAGATTCCATTGTTTTTGGTTTCACCCCTCCCCCACTGAGTAGTACTCCATTGTGTAAATGTACCACATTTTCTCTATCCATTCTTCAGTTGAGGGGCATCTAGGCTGCTTCCCATTTCTGGCTATTACAAATAGTGCTGCTATGATCATCGTTGAACAGATTTCCTTTTTGTATGGATATTCTTCTTATGGGTATATGCTTAAGAGTGGAATTGGTGCATCTTGTGGTAGATTGATTCCCATTTTCTTGAGGAGTCACCATACTGATTTCCAAAGTGGCTGTGCAAGTTTGAACTCCCACCAGAGTGGGGAAATGTTTCCCTTTCTCCTCATCCTCTCCAGCATAAACTGTCATTGGTGTTTTTGATTTTAGCCATTCTTATAGGATTAAAATGGTATCTCAGAGTTGTTTTGATTTGCATTTCCCTGATGGCTAAGGATGTTGAACACTTTCTTAAGTGTCTATCAGCCATTTTAGATTCCTCTATTGAGAATTCTCTATTTAGTTCTGTATGTTCAGGAAGCAGTCTCCTGTACCAATTCATTCAAGGATACTTCCCATTTTGTCTTCTAATAGGTTCAGTGTAGCTGGATTTATGTTGAGGTCTTTGATCCATTTGGACTTAAGTTTTGTACATGGTGATAGACTTGGATCTATCGGCAGTTCTTCCACACACCAGCATCCAGTTATGCCAGCACCATTTGTTGAAGATGCTTTTGTTTTTTTCCATTGCATAACTTTAGCTTCTTTGTCAAAAATCAGGTGTTTGTAGGTGTGGGTCTATATCAGGGTTTTCAATTCCATTCCATTGGTCTACTTGTCTATTTTTTGTGCCAATACCAACTGTTTTTAGGACTATAGCTCTATAATAGAGCTTGAAGTCAGGGATGGTGATGCCTCCAGAGGTTCGTTTATTGTACAGGGTTGTTATGGCTATCCTGATAATTTTTTTCTATATATAGTTGAATATTATTGTTCTTTCAAGGTCTGTGAAGAATTATGCTGGGATTTTGATGGGGATTTGAATCTGTAGATTGCTTTTGGCAAGATTGCCATTTTTACTATGTTATCCTACCTATCCAAGAACATGGGAGATCTTTCCATTTTCTGGTATCTTCTTTAATTTCTTTCTTTGAAGACTCAAAGTTCTTGTTATACAGGCCTTTCACCTGTTTGGTTAGAGTTACCCCAAGATATTTTATGCATTTTTGGGGGAGGCTCTTTAAACGGTGATGTTTCTCTGATTTCTTTCTTTTTTTCTTGGTAGAATCATTTCTATTTTATTTATTTATTAATCTATCTATCTATCTATCTGTCTGTCTATCTATCTATCTATCTATCTATCTATCTATCTATCTATTTGTAAGCCCCCACTCAATCCCCTCTCTGCTCCTGAGGGAGGGTGAGGTCCTCCATAGGGGATCTCCAAAGTCTGTCAGATTATCCCAGGACTAAGCCCTCCCCAATGTGTCCAGCATGAGAGAGCATCCCTCCATGGGGAATGGTCTCCCAAAGTCCATTTGTGTGCCAGGGATTAATACTGGTCTACTCCCCGGGGCCCCATATATTGCCGAGGCCTCCTCAGTGACACCCATGTTCAGGGGGTGTGTATCAGTCCTATTCTGGCCTCTCAGCCATCAGTCTGTGGTTCCTGAGCTACCCCTTGTTCAAGTCAGCTGTTTCTGTGGTTTTCACCAGCCTGGTCTCTACCCCTTTGCTCATCACTTCTTCTCTGCAACTAGCTTCCAGGGGTTCAGTTCAGTGTTTAGCTGTGGGTTTCTGCCTCTGCTTCCATCAACCACTGGATGAAGGCTCTAGGAATGCATATAAGGCAGTTATCAATCTCATTATCGAGGAAGGGAATTTAAGATAGCCTCTCCATTATTGCTTAGATTGCCAGTTGGTGTCATCCTTGTAGATGTCTGGAAATCTCCCTAGTGCCAGATTTCTCTTTAAACCTATAATGTCTCTCTGTATTATGATGTCTCTTATCTTGCTCTCCTCTATTCTTCCCCTGACTCAACCTTCCTACTCCCCTATGTCCTCCTCTCCCCTCCTCTTTTCCCCCAGTCTTACTCCCATCTCCCTCTCCCCTCCCCCCATGCTCTCAGTTTGCTCAGCAAATCCTATAAAATTCTCCTTCTCTGGGGTACCATGCATGTCTTTCTTAAGATCTTCCCTGTTTCCCAGACTCTCTGGCAGTGGGATTGTAGGCTGGCAATCCCATGCTCCATGTCTAAAATCCATATATGAGTGGTACATACCATGTGTCTTTTTGTGACTGGGTTACCTCACTCTGGATTGTTTCTTCTAGTGCTATCTATTTGCCTTCGAATTTCAAGATTCCATTGCTTTTTTCCACTGAGTAGTACTCCATTGTGTAAATGTACCACATTTTCTTCATCCATTCTTCAGTTGAGGGGCATCTAGGTTGCTTCCAGGTTCTGGCTATTACAAATAAAGCTGCTATGAACATCTTTGAACAGATGTCCTTATTGGATGAATGTGCATCTTTTGGGTATATGCCTAGGAGTGGAATTGCTGGATCTTGTGGTAGACCGATTCCCATTTTCCTGAGGACTCTCCATACTGATTTCCAAAGTGGCTGTACAAGTTGGCACTCCCACCAGCAGTGGGGAAATGTTCCCCTTTCTCCACATCCTCTCCAGCATAAATTGTCTTTGGTGTTTTTTATTTTAGCCATTCTGACAGGAGTGAGATGGTATCTCAGAGTTGTTTTGATTGGCAGTTCCCTGATGGCTAAGGATGTTGAGCACTTTCTGAGTGTCTTTCAGCCATTTTAGATTCCTCTATTGAGAATTGTCTATTTAGTTCTGTACCCCATTTTTTAATTGGATTGTTTGGTGTTTTCGAGAATAGCTTTCTGAGTTCTTTGTATATTTTAGAAATCAGCCCTCTGTCAGATGTGGGGTTGGTGAATATTTTTTCCCATTTTGTGGGCTGTCATAATGTCTTGCTGACTGCATCCTTTGCCTTACTTCAGAAACTTCTCAGTATCAGGAGGTCCCATTTATCAATTGTCAATCTCAGTGTCTGTGCTACTGATGTTATGTTCAAGAAGCGGTCTCCTGTACAAATTTGTTTAAGGGTTCTTTCCACTTTCTCTTCTAAGAGGTTCAGTGTGACCAGATTTATGTTGAGGTCTTTGATCCATTTGGACTTAAGTTTTGTGCATGCTGACAGATATGGATCTATCTGCAATCATCTATATGCCAGTGTCTAGTTATGCCAGCACCATTTGTTGAAAATGCTTTTTTTCCCATTGTATAGTTTTAGCTTCTTTGTCAAAGATCAGGTGTTCATAGGTGTGTGGATCAGTATCAGCATCTTCAATTAGATTCTGTTGTTCTACCTGTGTGTTTTTATGCCAATATCAAGTTGTTTTCATTACTATAGTTCTGTAGTATAGCTTCAAGTCAGGGATGATGATGCCTCCAGAAGGTACTTTATTCTACAGGGTTGTTTTGGCTATCCTGGATCTTTTTGTTTTTCCATATAAAGTTGAGAATTGTCCTTTCAAGGCCTGTGAAGAACTGTGTAAGTATTTTGATGGGTATTGCATTGCATCTGTAGATTGCTTTTGGCAAGATTGCCATTATTACTCTGTTGATCCTACCTATCCAAGAGCATGGGATATCTTTCCATTTTCTGGTATCTTCTTTAACTTCTTTTTAATGACTCAAAGTTCTTGTCATACAGGTCTTTCATCTGTTTAGTTAGAGTTACCCCAAGATATTTTATGTTGTTTGTGGCTCTTGTAAAGTGTTATTTTTTTCTGATTTCTTTCTCAGCCCATTTTTTGTCTGTATATAGTAGAGTTTTTTTTTTTTTTGAGTTAATTTTGTATCCTGCCACTTTGCTAAAGGTTATTATCAGCTGTAGGAGTTCTTTGGTAGAGCTTTTCGGGTCACTTATGTAAACTATCATATCATTTGCAAATAGTGAAAGTTTGATTTCTTCCTTTCCAATTTGTATCCCCTTCATCTCTGTTTGTTGTCTTATTGTTCTAGCTGGAATTTCAAGTGCAATATTGAAAATGTATGGAGAGAGTGGACAGCTTTGTCTTGTTCCTGAGTTTAGAGGAACTGGGTTGAGTTTCTCTCCATTTATTTTAATTTTGGCTGTTTGTTTACTGTATATTGCTTTTATTATGTTCAGGTATGTTCCTGTTATCCCTGATCTCTCCAGGACCTTTATCATGAAGGGGTGTTGGATTTTGTCAAAGGTTTTTTCATCATCTAGTGAGATGTTCATATGGCTTTTCTTTTGCAGTTTGTTTATATGTTGGATTACATTGATAGATTTTCATATGTTGAACCATCCCTGCATCCTTGGGATGAAGCCTACTTGATGAAGTTGAATGATTTTTCTGCTGTGATCATGGATTCAATTTGCCAGTATTTTATTGAGTATTTTTGCATCAATGTTCATGAGTGATATTGGTCTGTAGTTCTCTTTCTTAGTTGTGTCTTTGTTTGGCATGGGTATCAAGATTATTGAAGCCTTGTAAAAAGAGTTTGGCAATGACCCTTCTGCTTCTATTGTGTGGAATACTTTGAGGAGAATTGGTATTAGCTGTTCCTTGAATTTCTGGTAAAATTCTGCACTGAAACCATCTGGCCCTGGGCTTTTTTGGTTGGGAGACTTTTGATGACTGCTTTTATTTCCTTAGGGGTTATAGGTCTGTTTAAATTGCTTATCTGTTCTTGATATAATTTTGCTAAACGGTATTCATACAGAAAATTGTCCATATCCTTTAAATTTATTTTTGAATTTTGTGGAGTAAAGGTTTTCTTTTTTTCCCCCCAGTTAAAATGGGAAACTTTATATTATGTATATTTCACAACTTAAATAAAAGAGTACAAATACATTCCATAGCATAGATAAAATTTAAATAACATTATCTAAATTTTGTCATACACAAAATACTCATGTGAACCTGTTGACAGGAAAATGTTTATAATCTTGCTATATATATCTATGAATATTCATAAAAGCACTGAGATTTAGTTTAAATTGTTTGTGACACATGAATTATACTTCAATGAAACTGTGAGGACCACATTGATTTGACCCCTAAGGAGAAGTGGTATCACATAAATTATAGACCCACTTTCCAATGACATACTGAGAAAGAACAAAGTTAATAAAAAAGGCTGATTCAGGATGGTTGGTAGAAGATGAGGGAAGTCTGTGTCTGTTTGCTTGTTTCTCCAGTCACAGGGCAAGAGCAAAGGCAAAACTGTAAAACAGGAATGAAGCTGACCAAAGACCTTTATCCTGGTCTTCCTCCATCACTGAGCCACTTATGCAGAACAGTCCTTTCATCTCTGCCCCAAGCAGCATCAGCTACATCCAGGCCTGAACTGGAAGACAGTCTCGAATAATGGAAGCCTTTGTGGAGAATGTATCAGAGATTTCTTGTCTTGTAGCGTGGGTAAAGTAGAACAAGAAGATTTGTACACACACAGACTCTCTCCAATGCTGAGGCTTGCACAGGGAATGATGAAGGATGCAGCAAAGGCTCACAAAATCATTCAGCTCCTCAATCAATCCAAGGCCCTTCTAGAAAAGCAAATTCACCCACGGCTTCTATTGCATTATCCAAATCTCTCCTCTGGAGGGTTTTCCTCTTTCCTTGTTGAGCACAGCAGTAGGCAACTTTTGCAATCGTTTCCACGAACAGCTCCGCGGTCTGCGCCAGGATAAAGATGGCTTCCTATCACCTGAGTTTACTTCAGGGTCTGCCTTCACCAAAGCCTTTACTCTTTCGCCAGAGGCAGCCTGGAGAGCCCCGAGTGAACTCGTTGGGGTTTGGGTATGCATAGCTGCTACCTCCCCTCAGGGAGCCTCCTCCTTTCTGGGCATCCCGCTCCCTGCAACAGCTGCCAGTGCTGCTGCCATCCCCACCCTGAATGTGCTGTGTGCGATCGCCAGCCCCTTTCCCTGGTTTATAGATTTTCAAAGTATGACCTGATGATTCTCTGGATTTCCTAAGTTATGTTCCATTATTATGTTCTCCTTTTCATTTCTGATTATGTTAATTTACATGTTCTCTGTCTGCCTTTTGTTTTTGTTTGGATAAAGATTTGTCTATCTTGTTGATTTTCTCCAAGAACCAACTCTTTGTTACACTGATTTCTTGTGTCCATTTGATTGGCAAATCTTATCCCAACCCTTTACTCTGAGGTAATGTCTGTCTTTGAAGTTGAAGTCTGTTTCTTGTATGCAGCAGAAGGATGGATTCTGTCTTCCTATCCATCCTGTTAGCCTGTGTCTTTTTATAGGCAAGTTAAGACCATTAATATTGAGGTATATTAATGACCATTGATTGTTCATTTTTGTTTGTTTCAGATTTGTTTCCGTAAGTTTGGGTATGTTGTGTCTTCATTTTTGTTGAATTATACAAAGTGTTTAATTTCTTTCTTTATTTCTTCCTTTATCTAGGAATGGTGCAATTGCGCATTGTTCAATTTCCATGAGTTTGTAGGGTT